TTACAGTCTATAGTTACCTGTACATATAAACACATGGAGGTATCTCACCTTGTGACTGACAATAAAATATGTAAATTTATGAACTCTAATGAACTTATAATTAGGGGTTGAACGACTACATAATTTTTAAACTCGACATAAACATAATAAAACGAGTACTGGATGACATTATAGGATCTAAAGATACAAAAATAAATAAATAAATAAAACTGCAAAAAGGTAATTTTTTACAAAAAAAAAAGACCAACAAAACATTGTGAGCATATATTATGCTACCATTTATCCATCCATCCATCCATCCATTATCTTTACCTGCTTCTTCCATTTTGGGTCACGGGGGTCGCCGGTGCCCATGTCCAGCAATCACTGTGCGAGAGGCGGGGTACACCCTGTACGGGTCGCAAGTCCATCACAGGGCCACATAGAGACAAACGAGACAAACAACCATTCACTCTCTCACTCACACCTAGGGACAATTTAGAGTTACCAATCAGCCTAACATGCATGTTTTTGGTCTGTGGGAGGAAACCGGAGTACCCGGAGAAAACCCACGCAAGCACGGAGACCATGCAAACTCCACCCAGAAAGGCCCCTGGACCGGGGTTTGAACCAGGGACCTGCTCGCTGAGAGGCAGCAGCTCTACCAGTTGCGCCACCGTGCTGCCCCTACCATTTATCATACAGCAAATAAGTCACAGGAAAAACTAAACTATTAGTTTTTATTATTAAGCTGCAAAAGTGAAGAAACGTGCAGCACGTCAAAAACAAAACTAAAACCAGTGGGGGGGTCGACCACCCCACACCACCGCCAGCTGTGGTGCGCATTAAGTTTAGTTTTAGAGGTTAATATGTTTATAGATTTTTTTTTAATAGGTTTAGAGATTAATATTTTTTGCTTTTTATTTGTGAAACAAGGTCAGAGGAAGATGGTTCTGGTTCGGTCATTAGACCCGATGTTACACCATATTTTGTGACCTGCAACAGTGCATACAACACCGCCCCCTACGATCACAAAATATGGTGCAACACCGGTTCGCAACGAGCTCAAAACAGTCAGGAAGTTGATTCATTTTCTGTTTCCTTACGGTAGTTGAACAGGAAGATTCATCTCTAGTGAAATATTTTCAGAATATTGATGCATTTCTACCCGTTTGTCAAGACTGGGCCTGCTCTGCTCCATCTGTCTGCTTGGAGGAATCCATTTTGTAATCCGCGCCCGGTGCGGATCACGTGACACAATGACGTAACGGTGGCATAATGACGTCACCACGAATACTCAACATGAAATTAAAAACCTCGATAGGTGTCCTAGGAATCGATGTGTAGATTACTCGAGTAGTCTGTTAAAGCCCTACTTATAATGATGCTCCTACTCTTTGAAGGTGAACCGATGGTACCACACCATCTCTCAGTCAGACAATCTGATCAGTTTGATCAAAATCCTCTAGTTTAAAATCCTCACTGCTCAGATGAATCCTCCTCAAAGATACTTCCACCTCTTCCTCACATCTTGTTCTTTGGGAAACCTTCAAAATGAAAACAGGAGATTTGTGTCTACACAAAAACATTGTACAAAGGAGGTCAATGTTATTTTCTATTTCCTATATTCTCCCTAGTTTTATTTTTTATATCCTAGAACTTAAACAAAACTCCAGTTTTGATGCATTTCTGTTGATAATGAACCAAAGCTACTGACATTGTGAGTATGCTTGTTAGAAAAATATTCCTGTCATCAGATCTCAGTTAGCTTCATTGCAGATGAACGCCGTGTTACACTGAACATCACATCAGCTGGTGGACATAAATACAGTACAGTAATATTATATTTACAAAATACTAACAATAATAAGTTCATCTTACTTGTGAAAAGTTATCGCCCGAGACCTGACGTCAACAGTCCGTCGATTAGAACAGAAATAAGCTGCGAAGTGCTGAGACATCTTATGCTTTAACCAAATACGGACGACCGTTGCAAGATGGCGGCCGAAATTCCTGCGCCGCAGCAGCCAATGAGGTATTTACTGATTATATATCTATGTTACAGTACGTAACCAACGTTTCTGTTGCGATTTTTGCCACGCCCTTAAAATACGTTATTTTCACCAGTCCTGATGCGTCCGCCAAATTTGGTGACTTTTGGAATCTGTTAAGGCCCCCCTGGCTAATTCATTTGGCGGAAAAATTTGCAGCTCGGGCCTGAACAGAGCGATTACAATAAGCCTTCGCAGCGCTTCGCTGCTCGGGCCTAATAATACATATTGTGTTTTTCTTTGCGTACAGTTAGAGCGAGTTAGAGAACAGTATGCATCACAGAATGTAAACTACGAACCTCGACGCTTATTTCCTAGCGCCTCTTTAAAGACGATCCCTTAGCGAGGTTAACTCCGACATCGGCCACCGGTCAGATATTCACATCTGCGGGAGTAAAAATGCATCTGTTTATCGGTTTACTGAACACAACGTGGGTACTGCAGTGTAAATAAGCAAATAGAGCGTCTTCTTCTTCAGTTTTTTTTTTGTTGGCGGTTGGCAAACAACTTATGGTGTGCCTTACCGCCACCGACTGGTATGGAGTGTGGATCAGAACGCTTTTTAAAATAATAATAAAAAATAAAAAAACTATTTACTTGTGTATGTGTTGTCTGTCCTAATCATATCCTATTGATCAGCTTTGTTTTAATGAAGAACCTTGTCAAAATTTTTACACTTTTACTTCCTGACTCTTTCTGTAGTATGTTTGTGATATTAAATGTTTCTTTAACCTTTCTAAGTTCCTCCATCACGTGCCTTCTTTCTCTCTCATATCTCTGACAACTAAAAATCACATGCTCTATTGTTTCTGTCTCTCCACAATACTGACAATTTCCTGTTTCATGTTTTTGTATTGTGAATAATGTGTTGTTCAGTCCAGTGTGTCCAAATCTCTGTCTTGTTACTAATCTCTCTTCTCTTCTCATATCCTGATGCATGCTCAATAATCCAGGTAGAAAAATCCAAAAAAGTTCAATCTGGTCCTCTGGACATTCAAAAAAACAAAGCAAAAAAATCTAGAAACGTTTCGTCTCTCATCCAAGAGACTTCCTCAGTCTGAGGTGCTGTTTTCAGCTCGGTCTCTTAACTTTGCGGTTGCACCAAGTACAATTCCTCTGGTGGAGATGATCACAGCCACAGAATCAGCCATCCGCAACAACAAAATGAAAGAGGGTGAAGCAGAACAGCTCAGAATCAAAGTTTCATCCTGCCTCAGCAATGCCAAACCACCACCTTCCAACATCAGTAGAGAGGAGAGGGACGCACTCACCACTCTTAGAAAGGACAAAAACATCATCATTCTCCCAGCAGACAAAGGAAGGTGCACAGTGATTTTGAACCAGAAAGACTATCATGAGAAAGTTATGACACTCCTTAGTGACTTAACCACTTATGAACCTCTGAAAAGAGATCCAGGAAGTGGTTACAAGAAGAAGTTAATAGATTGCCTGACAAATTTGGAGCAGGACAAGGCTATTGACCGTTTTCTGTACCACAGACTGTACCCAGGGGAGGCCACACCTAGTCTGTATGGTTTACCTAAAATCCACAAACAAGGTGTACCTTTAAGACCTATTGTTAGCATGATTAACTCTGTCACTTACAATGTTTCCAAATATCTGGCGTCTGTACTCATCCCTTTAGTTGGCAGCTCAGAACACCACATACAGAACACCATGGACTTTGTGGATAAGGTGAGGGATGTCATCATGGAGACTGATGAAACAATGGTCTCTTTTGATGTCACATCACTCTTTACGTGCATTCCTGTTGATGATGCAGTAGAGGTGGTCAGTTTAAGATTAAAATCAGACACCACTCTGAGCAGCAGGACCACGCTTTCCACAGAACAACTGTGTCAACTCTTGAAACTGTGCCTGCAGTCAACCTACTTCACATATGGGGAGCAATATTATAGGCAGAAACATGGGTGTGCTATGGGGTCTCCAGTTTCTCCTATTGTTGCCAACCTGTACATGGAGGAGGTAGAAAAGAGAGCCTTGACGTCCTTTTCAGGGACACCACCAAGTCATTGGTTCAGGTATGTTGACGACACCTGGGTTAAAATCAAATCTCAGGAAGTCCAACATTTTACTGACCACATCAACTCTGTGGATAAATACATCAAGTTCACACGAGAAGATGTAAAAAATGGCAGGTTGGCTTTCTTGGACTGTGAGGTCTCAGTCTCTGATAGAGGACATTTGCAAACTGAGGTGTACCGCAAACCCACCCACACAGACCAGTATTTGCAGTTTGACTCCCATCACCCTTTGGAGCACAAGTTAGGAGTCATCAGGACTCTGTATCACAGAGCAGACAGCGTCCCCACTAGCTCAGGAGCCAGGCAGAAGGAGAAATCCCACACAAAACAGGCTCTAGAGCAATGTGGATATCCTAACTGGGCCTTCCTGAAAGCAGAGAAGAAACCCAAACAGGACTCCAGTCAGCCATCAGGTGAAAAGGAGGAACCCAGACCCAGACCAGTGGTCATTCCATATGTTGAGGGAGTATCAGAGAAACTGAGACGTTTATTTTCTAAACATAACGTCCCAGTGGCTTTTAAACCCCAAAATACATTACGGCAAAGACTGGTTCATCCCAAAGATCCAGTCCCCCGGCACAAACAGAGTAATGTTGTGTATGCGGTTCAGTGTCAGGAGGGCTGTGATCAGTCTTACATCGGGGAAACTAAACAGCCACTGGCCAAAAGGATGGCCCAGCACAGAAGATCAACATCATCAGGCCAGGATTCTGCGGTCTACACTCATCTCCAGGCCAGCGGTCACTCTTTCAAGGATGAAGATGTGCACATCCTGGACAGAGAGGAACGATGGTTTGAGAGAGGAGTAAAGGAGGCCATCTTTGTGAAAAGAAATCGTCCATCATTAAACAGGGGTGGAGGCCTCCGGGTTCAACTGTCCCCCTCTTACAATGCTGTGATTGCTAGTATCACTCAGCCCTCTGTGAGTAGTAAACAGCCATCAGTGTGCTAATGACCCATTGTTAGGCTGATGGTCCTTCTTGAGCATGTGATCAGCTGGTTTTGGTTGTCAGCAGCAAACTGGTTGATCCACTCTGAGAAGGTGCTATTTAAGAGACTGAGCTGAAAACAGCACCTCAGACTGAGGAAGTCTCTTGGATGAGAGACGAAACGTTTCTAGATTTTTTTGCTTTGTTTTGCTTTTTGTTTTTTTTTAATGTCCAGAGGACCAGATTGAACTTTTTTGGGTCTCTTCTCTTCTGTTTCTCCCTCCTGTTCTCATCTCTCCCGCTCTTCTTTGGATCTTATAATACCATCTTCCTTTGTTTTCTTCATTCCATTATTTCTGCCACTTTTCCATCAGTTTTTGTTTAACCATGCTTCTTGCTTCTGATTTGCTTGTAGTTATTATAAAGTTAACTTGTTGTGTTGTTGCTCTTTTTCCTTCCATGTATGCTGCTTCATTTCTTCAACCCCAGTGTGTGCTGGTACCCACAGAAATACGACTTCCAAACCATCATCGTTATTCTGAATAATGCTTGCTGGATTTCTAATAAAATGTCAGGTCTGCTGTTTGAGTGGCTGTGCTGTAAGCTTGTAAGTGATGAACTTGAATCTGAACATACTATTGTTTTAAATGGTCTGACATCTTCTATCCATTGTACTGCTAATAATACTGCTAACATTTTCCTGGTGTATACTGACAATCCATTTGTAATCCGTTTAACTTCTTTCTTATGGAACTCTGGTATGATAATTGCTATTCCTATTTTCCCTGTTGTGTCTTTTGATGCATCTGAACGTAACCATAATAGTTATTTATATATTTATATACTGTATATTAGTTAAAAGTGATTTTTTCAATCTTTTTTCTTTTCCATGTGTAAAATTTTCTTTTGCAGTTGGTAGTATCTGTCACGATTCACGCCTGTTCGAGTCAAATCTTTTTCACTCTGTTCACTGCTTGGTGTCTGTAAACCTTCTTTTCTTTACCTTCCTCTTTTTGTTTATGTTTGGGGTTGAGATTCTCTTTTTTGCAGCACTCATTGATCTCCTCTCCTCTGGCTGCATGTGGGTTTAAGGTTGTCTTCTCTTCAGCACACTCTGCACTGATTACCTCTCATTAAATGCACCTGTCGCTTCACCCTTTATAAACCTGACCTGCACACAGGGTGAGTGCCAGATAGTCGAACACAGTTTTCCTGCAAGTAGTTATCCCGCGCTCATAATTTCCGGTTTCCCTTGTAGCGTTTTTTCATAGTTCCCCTCCTGTCCAGTTTTTTGCATTCCTTGCTCCTGTCCCGCTCCTTGGTTCATGTATCCTCGCCTCCTCGTGCTGACTTCCTGTTCTGGGACTTTCGCTCGCCTGACTTCGCCTCCAGACCGCTCCTCACCGGATCTACGCCTCCATTCATCGGCACCGACCTACGCCTCCTTCACACTGCCTCCTCGCCTGCTCCTGCTTGGGACTGACGCTCTTCTGATCTCCGGTCTCGACCCTCGCCTGATTAACTTCGCCTCACGCCTCGCGGACCAGGGTGTCGTCTCCTCCCATCCATCCTCGAGCTCTTCACTGCAGCTGGCTGTCTCCTCTCACCAGGACCATCCCCCCTGCAGCGATCCCACCGTGCTGGAACTTCTCAGCTCCTCTGAACCCCCTCCTGACAGAGTAACGGTTAGTGGTTTCCGTATCCTGACTTTTGCTTTTGCTTCTGTCTCCTGTCGGGCCACTAACCGTTCTCTCCCTGTCCTTAGACTCGTTCCAGTCTTTAACCCTGAGATCGACACCAGAGCCAGATTCTCTTTGAGAGGCAAGGTCCACCAAGAAATAAACTTTTGAACCTGAGTCTTGGTGTTTGTGGTAGTTTTGGTCCAGACATTTGGGGGTTCGTTACAAGTATCCATGGTGGTATTGTTGGTAGCGGTACTATTGGACTTATTGTTAGGTTTCTTATTTGAACTTCTTGTATCTTCTGATCGATTATCCAACCAAAGCTTCCCGTTTCTCTCTTTGCTTTTTCCCAGCATGGTTTTAAAATGTCTAATGTTGGATGATCGGGGTTATTTCCTAGTAAGTCGATCCAGTAATTTATTGCTAGCTGTGTTCTTCTCAATTCTAAAGGCATCTCTCCCATCTCTACTTTAAGTGCTGCGGTTGGGGTGGTCCTGAATGCTCCTGTACAGATTCTTAGTGCTTGATGTTGTATATTGTCAAGTTTCTCCAGATGTGTTTTTGCTGCCGATCTATAGATTACACTTCCATAATCTATAGTTGACCTGATCAGCCCAGTGTATATTCTCTTTAATGTTGTTCTGTCTGCTCCCCATTCATTTCCCGCCAAACATCTCATAATATTTAAGACCCTTTTACATTTATCAATAATTTTCTGAATGTGAATATTCCATATTACTTTTTCATCAAACCACATTCCCAAAAACTTTATACTCTTAACTTGTTCTATTTCTTGATTGTATAGTTTCAGTTT